TGAATGGCTCGTTTTCCTGGTCTCCTCTGGCCTTGTTCATGTTAGCAGTACCTGCCTTCCTAGGAGTTCTGTCTCTGCCCTGCCTCGTCTTGCCCAGATCAGGACGGTTGTGTACCTTGATTTCATGTGGCACTTCAGCTTTTAGCTCAGGTCCTTGCTCCACTACAAAGCTCAACTCATTTTTAGTGTCTGGGAAGACATCCCACCGATCCAGGGCAACAACAGAAGGTTCATTAACAGAATCCAAAACATTGTCATTCTTTGCATGCACCTCTGGCACGTGTGCAGGCAGCTCCAGGGCCCACAGCTCATTTAAAGTTGTTTCCACACTTCTGCCTTGCRAGGAAAGAGCTGAGTTGTCCCTGAGAGCTCCCTGCTGATGCAGTTCTTTGGGTACCTGTCCCTTCCCCTGACCATTTAAAGCATTTGAAATGGGTACACTTGAGATTTTGGGATCCTTCTTCTTGGTCTCTTTTGCCAAGTCATGCCCTAAACCCCGTGCCTCTACATTAGGAGATCTACAGAGCAGCTCCACACTGGAAGCTGGCACAGCCTGTGAAGTGTTTCTGGAAGATTCAGGCTTTCTGTTCAGCTGAACTAGGCTTGCAGAGGCCACCTGCTCCCCACGAGCAGCATAACCAGAGGAGCTCCGTGGTGGAGGCACAGGGACAGTTTGTGCCAAACAGGGCACGGGTGGAGGGGCAGCAGGATGCTCTGACAAAGGCAGAACTGCAGTGTTCCTGCCTTCCTCCATGCAGGGGTCTGCTGAGGAGACAGATGCTGGCACTGCTGAGTCCCCACTGTGACTTGCAGAAGGGTGTTTGGAATGGGGCAGCACTGCTAAACTGTGAGGAGTATTGCTGGAGTCTGAATTTGCTGAACTGGAAACCGGTTCTAGGGAAGGTTCAGAAATCAGAGACATAGTGGAACTAGTCTGCAAAAAAAAAAGAGACAAATGGAATACAGAGAGAAAAAAATAAAGACAGAGAAAATAAGGAGAAGAAAAAGCCAAAGATTAAGCATTATAACAATCATGACTTCCAAATCAAGAGGAAGGAAGGAAAATGAGACACCAAAGAGCAGAGTTTGTGTGACATTGCACTGATCTTCACAAGTTCTACAGCCATTGGGATCCTGTTCCTGTGCCCTCCTCCCAGTGACAGCTCAGTATTCACCCGCAGCTGCGATGGGGGCATGGAACAGCCACTGGGAAGCCAGCTCCAAACCCAGGAATGTCTCGACTATGAATAAAGGTCACATTAACTTACAGTCAGACATGGAAATTTTATACTCCAAAGCTGAAAAAAATTCAATCAATGAATAGAACAAAGMATGACATTTTCTTCTTGATACACTAATAAAATGCTCCAGTTGGCTGAGTTCATGCAGTGAAAACAAAGCTTCAGGGCATTCACAGCAAGAGCAGATGACATGGGCTTTGTTCTATTCACATCACTAATCTCACCTTGGAAGTGACACACACTGAATCTATAGGAGTCTGTCAGTCATTCCATGCCCTTGTGAGCATTGCTTAGGTGGCAGATTAGGTTCTTCCCCTCAGGCCAAAGACTCCACATTGACATTGTAATAAAATCAGAATTAATTTTGATCCCAAAAATTATTCTAAAAAGAGCAACTAATACAGAGGTTTTGGGTTTCCTTGACTTACAGGGTCTTTTGAAAACAAAAGATCATGAGTCCTTCTTTCCCCACTTCCAGAGGTTCCTGGAGATAAAGTGGWATTACTCCTTTTTCTTAAAAAGGAAGAATCAGAACAGCAACTTGGACAAGCTCACACAGCAAGTCAACCTAAGACCAAGACCGTGCCTTCTCAGTTTTAAAAATGTATCCACAAAGGATTTCCAAATCCAAGAGCTATCAAGACCTGCTCTGACTCTTAGTCATATTTTCCAAAGAAGCCTAAAGAAGTCAGATGCTTATGCTCTGAGGTGGAGTGGCACATAACTTCCTAAGCCCCATATATGTTCTCTCAGTCTCTACTTACCTTTCTAAGATACTTATCATCAATAACAGGATAAAATTAACCAGAACATGCACAAAACCTGTCAGCAAATGGAAGAATCATAACCTGCAGCTGACCTGAGCTCCTGCCATGCTGAGGGCCAGGAGTGGGCACACACTCACACATTTGCAAAGTCACACTAGCAGTGCTACAAGGAGACTGTGCTCAGAAAGGGAAGAGAACTAAGAGATCAAATTGCATTACAGATTGCACCTTCCCCTTGAGTAGCACAGCCAGGCCCACAGTCACAGCAGAGAACAAAATGATTAGCAAGTATATTAAAATGAGGGARTTTCCCAATTGTGCCCTCTCCCTGTATTTTGCCTAAGCTGGGTAYACCTGTAAAAGTAACCTGGTTTGATGCTGTGCTGCACACTTGGTTTCCAGACTTCTTAAAATGAAGTCAGTCATTTTCAAAGCAAGAGTAACATTTTGCCCATATGTCAGTATTTTCCACATATTGAACCCACACTAATTCCAAAAGAAGAGCAATGGGTGAGCACTCAACAGTAACAGAACAGTTAATTACAAGCATCCAGCTATGCAGTAAGCAGGCATCGCATTACACCGAAATGGCAGAGGGTAAAATAACAAGTGCACAAAGTAATTTCAGTGCATGTTGACCAATGAGCCAGATAACTAAAATCAAATAGATTCTGTAAGCAAAAAGAATAGGCAACTCATTARAGTGAGCAAAAGATGATAAAAGGGTAATGTATCAGCACCTTTTAYTCTGGGATGCAGAGAAGTCAAGCACCAGTGCCCTCCACTCCTCCCATCCCCATCTACTGCAACTTCTACCAACTCCAACTTACTACACTTCATATTTGGGGTTTTTATCCTATTTCCTGCAGTCACACAGGTCTGGTACTCAAACAGCAGCCTTTCATCTTCCACTTTGCAAGGACTCCCTTTCTCTCCCCTACATTCTGACACTGGCACAGACTAGAATACATTTTTACAGACAATTTAACAGCACCAGCTGGCAAAAACAAAGAGCTATAACCAAACAAAAAGGAAGTGAAAACAAAGCAACCTGGAGGATGGGCAAAAAAAGGAAAGTAACTTAAAAACATTCAATGACACCATTAACAAAAGGAAAATGATCACTGAAACCAAGTTCTTTGTGCTCCAGGAAGAAAGCTGGGCACAGATGAGCTCAGTGCCTCACAAAACTACTAATGCTGTGCTTAATAGAGCCCAAATCTTAAATTCCYGCTGCATTTCAGTTTGGTCTCTGAGGTCAACTGAAAACTAAGCCAGGAAGGCAGGTGGTGYATTAGTCACAGCAGCTCATTTCTCTCATGCAGGTTTTACTGGAGATTCTAAAGCCTTTTCTCAASAGTGCAAAGTACTGGAACACCCACACTTAAAAGTGTCCCGTCCTTGTATCTTGCCAGGAAAACCTGCACAGGGCAAGATCATTCTCAGTCGCAAAGAGTTCACCTGGGAGCAAAGGCTGGGCCACACCCTGAGCYTGTTTCCTGATCAAAGCAACAGGGGCACAAGGCCCTAGTGCTCAGCTCCCACAGCACATGGAAGGAGCAGGGCAGAGAACACCAGCAGCAAAAATGAAAAAAACACTGCAGTGTTTCAACCAGGCTGAACAAGGCTTGTGGCTAYCCTGCACTACACCCTGGGACCTGAGAAGGAGAAAAAAGGCAACGCTAAGGTGTCAATATTTGCAATTGATTAAATACACACTACAGTAAGTCTAGAGAAAACAGTGAGTAACTCCCAGATTCTCATCAAATTAAGTGCATGTGCCAGGAATAGCAGAATGAATTCCATTCCAGCAAGTACAAGGCAAGTGAAGCCTCTCAGAACGTGTGTGCTCAGTGCTGGGTTCTGAACTCCCACTTGTCACTACTCTGGTATTGTACTGACCTCCACGGGACCCACCAGGCACGGAAAGAACAGCAAACRGCAAAGCTGTCACTGAATGTCCTGTACCTCTCCTCACAAAACATTGCTCAGCTCTGGCTGCCMCACCTAACGTCATCTAAAAGGGGATGGAGCTCAGCACAGACAAGAAACATCAAGCATCCAGCAGAATTTTCCATATGAGGATGAAACAGAGTTAGGAACTGACTTAGGATTAGAAAGCAGSTATGTATGTATGAAAGGCAAACCTAACAAAGAGATCATCTAGTGTATTTGCTTTCTCCACCACTCCCAGAACAAATTCAAGTAAATAGTTCAGTAAGACTAAAAGCAAAGCAGCTGGAAGTAGAAAKGGAGAACATATTTTTCATTTTGCTATGACTATGGGTAAATGAAATCTCAAGAAAATACCGTCCACAGTTCATCACCTAGTGCAGGAATGGTAACATACCCACACAAATAAAGCAAAAGTTATCCAAATACATATGGCAAAACTGAATAGTACTTGCCATCCTTTGCCCAAAAAAAGTTCAAGCTTTAATCCCATTTTGAGGTGAATAAGAGATTTTGTTTAAAGATAAAACCTTTGAAATCTCCTTCTGACTGCTGTAAAGGCTTCAGTGCTCACACCACATGCCTGGAATATCCTCCTCAGGGAAAGCACATCAGGGTAAAAAGACATTCCAGAGGAGGGTCATCCCACAGAACAGAGAGCCTGCTCTCGGTCAGTAAGCAGAGTGGTGTCCCATGCCTCACTCCTTCTCATTAAGTTGCAGCACAGCAAAATAATTCACTCTGTACTGAGCAGTAACAAAGCTCATTATCTYTGGCAAACAGACAAACTGCAGAACTGAAGGAAAAACAGATCCCAGAACTGTCTTACCCAGCCAGTGATGAGAATTTATAGCAGTCAAGGACACCTACAACACCACTCAGAAGGCACAAATACACCATAGGAAGTTTATCAGAGCAAATGTGAGAGGTAAAGGAGGCATTTTGGAGACCAACCAAGGTCAGCAAATGCGGCTAACAGGCAAGAGAGACTGGGGTGGATAGGGACAAGAAAAAGCATTAAGTTGTCATGACAGGGTACCTTAAAGTCAGAGAGAGATGCCATCAGCTCATCTAGTTCTCGTGTAGCTGAAGAAGCAGAAATGCGAGTCTGCTGCTGACTGGCGGTGACGCGCTGAGGGCTGCTCACCTCGCCCTGGCTCACAGTGATCGCAGGTCTGGCCAGGGGRAAAAAATGAAATTTAAAGAAGAGTGTGTTAAAGCCTGGGAGGGCACTCCTAGACTGAAGTCTCACTGCTCCCCAAGCAAGCACAGCATGAGGAGTTTCATCAGCACAGCCCACCCTGGCCCAGCTTCCCCARCACACTCAGACCCTGCCTCACGTGTCACACATCCCATCTGCTAAGAAACAGTCCAAGCATTCATTTTGTCAGACAGTGGATATTTGTGGTCAGCTGTAAATCTGAGCTTTATGAGTCCACCTCTTATGCATGACTTAGACATTTTTCCATCCTGAAGTAGATTAAAGAGTATCTTCATGCATCCGCCTGACTTCTGACCCTTCAGACAAAGCCCATCTTCCCCATCCGTCACTCTGCAGCAGCTGCCCCTACACTTTAGTCACCATTCCCATAGGAGACSATCCCACCCCACCCAAGCGTGCAAACACCAAAGCATTACTCACACTGGAGTTGGCACAGAGCTCTCCAGCTCATCCAGMAGGCTCTCCACGCTGGGACGCACATCTTCGATCCCACGTGCACCATTTCGCTTTGGTTTTTCTTTTGTTGGGGGTGCAGCCTTCCCTCCCCCAGAGCTGCTGTTCTCTGGGACAACATAGTGCTGGCCAGCCACRCTGGGCAGTGATGGGCTTCTGCCAGCCTCATCTGAAGAAAGGGRAGCAGAAGAGAGCCATTCAGAGCCCCGTTCCACACACACACATGCTAATCACAGGAAGGAACAACAAATTGTCCAGGAATCTTGTGGAACATCCATCTTCAAGGATATTAAAAACTGAACAGTGCAAGGGCCCGAGCAATCAAACCTAACTTTGAAACTGTACTTAGARGCAGTTTTGAAGTTGGCCTTGCTTTGAGCAGGGTGCTGCAGCTCAGACCTCAAGAGATCCCACCCACACTAAATGAATCTTAGATTGAGGACTGGAGGGGTCTCCCTCACTAAGGATGTTGAAAATAAAAAGCAGGCCACCATTCTGAGAATAAAACTATCCACTCACACCAAACATCTTCCTATTCCTTACCTGCTGTAAAGCCACTGGCAGGAGTATGTTGAACAGCATTCAGTTCCAGAAGGAGTCTGTCCAGTTCTGAGAGGTTGCTGCCCAGAGAGGAGCTGGTCATTGTGGGAGATGGCTCCGCAGACTTCTGCTTGTTTGGGAAACTGAACACAAAAGGGTAATGTGAAACTTCTGTGTCAAAACACAGCAGAAGGATGGAGGGAAAMTTTCATTAGGTTCCCAAAGTTTATACATGCACTGTGGTCTTTTCAGGCTGATGCTTCTAGCTCTGGGGGAAAAGACATGTGCTTTGTGATACACTAAACACAGACACTGCTGTTTTTGTAAATTACAAAAAACAGCATTGATGGACAGGGCCTCTGATTTTAGGACTATGTGCTGCCCAACCTGCAGGAAAGAGTTAACTGTCTGTGGATTCAAAATGCACAGAACAGCAGCAGAACCATTAGCTCACATACGGGAAAATGACTTGTTTCTGCTGACACCACACCAAGTAGCAACATTCTCCTCCCTGGGTGAGGGAATGCAAGGGCTAGCACAGACTGGAGAGAGAGGCAAGATACAAACCTCAGGCTATCAGCAGAATCTCAGGAGCAATAGSTTATGTGATAGCCTCTTGCAACACTCAAGGTCTCCCCAAATCATCAAACCTTAATTTGGGGAACTCTAATCAATTGATAAGAAAGTAACTTGATACTATTTTCTACTGTGTTAAATACACCAGCATTTACGAAACAGTGACTGTAATTACTGCTTATCTTATACGTGTGATTTAATTTACCCTGCAGAACTGCAAACTTTTTCAAAGCAAAACTTTACATCAAYACAGAGATTTTTATAGCAACTATACTGTAGTAACAGTGCTCCCCATTGTCAGTGGCAGGGAATTTTTTTGTTTCCCTAGTTTTATAAATGAAGTAAMTTCTAATGCTCTAGAAGTTCTTATTTTATCAAAAAGATACTTTCCAAATCCAAAGTGGGAACTTGTGCCTTGTGTACAGCATTACATTATGTTTAGGAAGTTAGTATCCRGCAGGCTAAAGGACTCTAACATCTTCATCAGTGGCAATTATGAATTCCATGAATGAAGTTATCCTTCTCTTTGGATTAAAAAACAAAATCCACAACTGCAATCTGAGGAGAACATACTTCACCCTAAAAGAACACACCAGCTACAATTCACACCAGAACCAAGCCATGCCAGACCCATGTTCAAGAAGACTTATGGCTGTAATTACCTTCATTTCATATTAATTGCATGCAATCATCTGAAAAAATTGCAAATTGGGTCATCACTRGCTAGGCTGCCCAGAGAGAAGCTGAGCTCTACCTAGAATTAGTTCTGGTTGGAAGCAACTTCCGGCTCAGCAGAAGGAGCTGGCATGGTTAGATCAAGGCACCAAAGAAACACCAGTCTCCAAAGTGTAAAAAGGTGCCCAGGATKAACTTCTGACAGCCTCTTCATCACTCATCCTTATGTCAGCAATAAGGCCTGTCCTACTTCACAGGCTACTCCTCCAACCTCTCAGAGTAAGAGCAGCCGCCTTAGCAAATGTAGACTTGTTATCTATCAATCACCTACTGAGATGGAAGTTTTAGGAAGTTTGAATTTACCTGAATACTCAAGTGTCTGCACATCCCTCCAGGACACAAGCACTGAGTTCCTGGGGATAATTAACCCAAAAGCCATGCACCTCCTAAAGAACTTTTGTGTTGTTAACAGGGCGATGGATKTATCACTTGTGTCTGGATCATATCCTTCACAACACAATCCAGATCCTGCTCTGCCTGACAGATCCTTAACCTCTTGCTGCTGGGCAAGCCGAAGGGCCAGCTCAACGTTTGAAGTGAGTATGGAAGTTACAGTRGCATGTTATAAAGAGGCAATCAAAACTGACACAAAGCAATGTAACAAATATGGGGAGCAGTGTTCGTTTCCACTTATGGAAAGCAGCTTGAGCCTCAGCAGGCTTAAGTTGTGAGTCAGGCTTATCTTTTAAAAGGGACAAGATACCTGTAGACGTGTTCCTCTTCACTGGCACGGGGAGTAGGAGAGCTGAGCCCGTCTCTAGGAGCTGAGGCACTGGAGCTTTTGGCACTAGAGCTGTATACAGGAGACTGGGACTGAGGCTGTGGAAACGAGATTTGCGTTGGAAACAGAATACAAAACAAATATRTACACTACTGCACTGCAAACCCACACACTGACATGGCAGAACAAAGCCCAGCAGAAGAAAAAAGGAACTGTTTAGTCAAGCCAGTCTCTATCAGATGAGCTACACCAGGAACAATTGTTCTCCCCTCACTTCAGATCTGCCTATGAGTCGCAGCTTTGTGCTGGAAACCCCCAGTCTGCTTTCCACAGGCTCAAGACAGGTGACTAACACTAATCTCATCACACCACCGTTTTGCTGGCACAGTGACAATGGCTTTCAAATTCTTTTCTGCCATTTGCTCGAACCAGTTTAATAAAAACTCCCATCTCCCCCCATTTCCCCACTCTGTTCATAGCCAAATTCTTCATTGCTTCCTCCTCTTCACCTTCCTGAGAAATCCTGCACCCACAAAACAAGCACCCTTCCACCCACACACATCCAGTTACCTGCTGGTGGCTGTATCTGGGTGTGTTGGGCTGCCACTGGTCTAAGGGGTCGATCACAGTGCCATTGAGGGCCTCATTGGAAGGTGGTGGTGGCACTGGGGGTGGCACAGCAATCTCCTGGTACGTGTGGTTTCCAGTTGGGTAGGAGTAAGGAGTTTCCTCCGTGAGAAACACTGGTCGTTTGGAGATATGTGAGGTGGTGGATTCCAGGTCTGCCAGTAAGGCGTCTGCAGGAAAACAAAAAAAACCAGCAAAATGGTAAAAACCTGGACTACAGCTTTGTCTCTTTCTTATCATTCATAGTATCTGTATTAAAAGGTTTTTGGGAAGACTTTTCATCTGGAATAATCTACCAAATGCCCTGAAAAACATTTCTGCTGCCCAGGAATGAACAAGTTAATCAAACTTCTACTACAAAAAGAAACACCGAGATGTAACAAAGCAGCCAGAAAAGCTRTGTCAGTGTCAGATTTTCAGATTAACAGGAAAACCACCCAACAACACGGACCAGTATTCTCACTGCACCCTGCAGAAGTGCAACCTAGGCAAGCCTGCCCTGAGATCTACTCCAACAGGATATTGACACAGACTAATTACAGGCCCCACATCATCACGGAGTTATTTACTGTGGCCGCAGGCACTGCTTTCTGCAGGAAACAAGATCTCGGGAGGTGTTTTCTCCAGAGTCCAAGGTAGTGGAAGAAGCATGAAGCACTCAGATCATCAGTGCAGCAGGAGTATGTGTTTCAGCCTTCTAACAAAAATTCCTCTCAATATATCATACAAACAGTTAACAAGTTTCCAGAGATTGCCAGGTAAACGCCGTTTCTTCTCCTGGAAACAATTCTCAACTAGCTGGGTGGAGACTGCTTGCAAATTCTTGAGGAGAAGGAAAACTTCCAGCAGCTAGAAACATTGTCAGTCATGCCAGGCAGAGGACCCACGTCACACAGCACCTCTCAAAAATCTTAAAAGTCCCATCAAAAATGAGGCATAAAAAGGYATTTCCCAGTTTTCTGGATTTCTCCCTGCAAACATAACCTCTGCTCATTCCCAATGCTGCACTTCTCTGAAAGGCAAATCCTGACCTGTTGGCCTTTCCACCCTGTGAGCCCACCCTGCAGAACCCATTGCAGTCCCTATGGAGGGGAACTCCAGCGAGCGCCTGCAAGTCTACACTGTGCTTACTTTCCAAAGAAAGCCTCCCTGGCTGTGTGCCCAGCTTTCCACTGGGGCAGCAGCACCAGTGCACACCTCTGCAAAGCTACTAGAGAGGAGTCAGTTCACTGGGGACATCAGTGCTCCATAACAGCATCAGGACATACCTGGGCAGGTCCCTTTGGAGATGTGGAATTCAGCCAGAAAACAGAAATACGAATTCAGCCAGAAAACAGAAATACAAATTCAGCAGAATTGGGAGGGGACACTCTATGAATCGTCCTGGATCTCCCTTCCCCCTGCACAGACCCAGCTGTCCTCAGAGAGTTTCAGCAGGTCCCTTCTCCTGCACACAGCACGTACTTGATGCTCAGGTTTGGGGCACGAGGGCTCAGCCTGAGCAGGGCCATCCTGCAGTGTCCTCCACCGGGTCACAAGGAGCTGGAGCTGTCTGGAGGCACCAGAATAGCAACCGAGCAACTGCTCGCACTAATGGCTGCCCACAGCTCYCCGGGCAGCACCTGCCAGCCCTGAGCCACTTCCTGAGCACAGCACTCCACAGCAGCCAATACACTTAGCAAGCCTTCAAGAAAATGTATTAGAAGAGTACAGTATTATTGCATTAAAAGGAAGGAAGGTGCCGCTATTATATTCACTGTTTGCAAAAAACCAAAGCATTACAATAGAAAAAATATTTTCTATTGTAATGCACTCAGAGAGCAGAATATAGCCATTAGCAAATTAAACACTGTGTTAAATTGTTTCTATATACCTTTCATTTAGTTAAAGATGCTCCAACCATTAAAGTCACAGGCTCTATCTTCCTAAAGGGGCCAAAATATCATAGAAGCAGATTCTCTGAAGGGAGACAAGCACTCTGCAGCTGGGAAAGAATGAACTGAATCTTCTTTTTAAGCAAAAGAACAGCTGGTGGATTCCAGAGTGAAAAGCACATACCTCCAGGGAACTGCCGATGAGCTGCAATTCCTACAGTCAGGCAGGTCCTATGACTGGAGGTTTCACGCACACAACCTCAGAGAAGTGCTAGCCGAGAAGGAGTGGTTTCTGCTTCTCCCCTCCAATGACAAAGGCAAATCAAACTCCACCAGGAAGTGAAAATCCCGGGAGGGTGTTGGGCTCCTCCGGYCCTGCAGAGGGGACCCAAACCACTTTTCCACCCTCCACCTCCAGCCCTCAACAGGAACCAGCAGCTGTAACCATCTCGACACASAAACTCCCCTGCTCGGCTCCTCTCTCTGCTGATGATCCACAGAAGGGACACTCACTGCCTTTTGCTAATGACACAGAGCCAGCTCGGCTACACGGACCGGTTTACTTTTACAAGTCTGCAGAAGATTAGTCGGGAAATACCAGGAGCACTGAGCCCCATGGCTATGAAGGAGTTAAGATTAATGATTAACTTCCCCCAAACCCTCCCCCTTCCTGACTTGAGCAAACAAGGCAGCCGAGGAACGGGAAGCGGAGGGAGGAGAAAAGGCTGGAGAGGAATCACTCAGTTACTCACACTAAACTCCAACTTTACAACTGATACCGAAGGCACCACCCCAACCCGGTGGGACAGGAAAGGCGCTCACACACCGGTTTCCCGATGAAAAAGGATCTCTCCTTATGCTTGCTGGCCCCCAAGTTTCGTGTCCTCCCTTCCCTGAGCCCCAGGGGCTCCAAGCTCACGACAGAGGGAAGGTCTTCCCCGTTCGCGTCCCTCCCCGTTACTGTTCCTGGATCCAATCCCATCAGCAACCACAGCTCCCTGAAACTGCTAAAATGCGAACTGCACCGGTTTAAAGGGTCCAACACCAGCAGCAGAATGTCCCTGGGGAGGAGCGTGTGAGAGCGGCAGGGGCACCGTCCCAGCTCATAGACATCACCCTGCCGAGGGGAGCGACTCACCAATCCACAGGCTCGGGCTGCAGGTAGCTCCCTTGGAGGTCAGCCCAAGGATTCTGCAGTTCAGAGTGTGACTTGAGGCAATTATTCAAAACACAACCAAAAATTAACCAAAGGGATTAACATTTTGTTTTCCATGAAGCGCTTCATCCCAAGAGGTCCAAAAGTACTGTGCATTCATTTAGGATTTGTGCAACTACCAAAAGACAATGTGAGATAAGAGATGAGGGGAAAGAAGGGAGATTTATTAATGGAAAAAGGTACAAAGCTCTCTCTTTTTGCAAAAGGGACCAGCATCTGTAACCCAATGAATTGTGACAGAGATGCTGTGCCTTGTGCAGTGCTGCACCTCTCATCACAGCACAGAGCTCAAGACAGTGGCTGCTCCTTAGATGGAATATTAAATGCTTAAATAGTCATATTAAAGGCTCGATCGATTTACTGGGTAATGAAGTGTTCCTGCCCAAGGTGACTCCTGAGGGACAGTGCTGCAGGAGGTGTGAATCAGCCAGTTAGWCCCCACAACCCGTAGGAAGCAGCTGACTGGCCCACCCCAAAGCAGCGGCTCGGGCCAGTCCCCACCAGCACCATCCATCAGAGGGCACCACCAACACCCTCAACAGGGACAGAGCCACGAAAGCCACGGCAGTRCCCAGCTTGGCAGTGCTTTCACCTCACCTGTTCAGCCCCGCAAGAGCCGGGAACTGGTCCCTGTTTTAGGCACACACTCTCTGTGGTGCCACGTGTGCTGCACCTCCCCATGGAGACACAACTTCACAGCAGCTCCTGCCCAGTACTCCGGAAACAACCACACACACTGACCTCACCACAGCCTTACCGCKGCCCCAAATACTCTCTGGAACAATRCAGACACAGCTCGACAAGGCAGAACTTCCAAAGGATAAAGACCACATATTTAGTTACCTCTAGGGAACAGATATAAGCATTTTGTAGCAATGTGTCCAGTGCATCGAACCATTTAGAAAATACCCCTTCTACCACCATAAGTAGCAATATGGAAGAACAGGACAAATCATGAGGCTAAACTCCATTTACCAGTTCAAGCTGCACTAAAAAGAGCAAAGTTCTATACTGCACATTCCTGTGCTATCTCCCCAGCCCACACCTCCGTGGGTCGAGGAACAGTTCATGCATTCCAGGGGCTCCAACGCAGGCTCCTTCGCCATGGCTGCGTGTCAGCACTTGCTGTCCTGCAGATGCAGAATCCTGCAGCATGAACGGCTCTGTACAGCCAGGGGCACATTCTTCAGCTTCCCACAGTCCAGGTCTGTCTGACAAAGAGCAGTAACACCAGCCTAGGGATCACAGCCCTGCTCTACAGYCTGGAACAGCAATGGGTAACACCAGGGCCTCTTTGTACTGATGCACACATCAACACAMCTTTCTAGGAATCTGAGCTGCCCTGCCAAGCTAGAGTGAAGTTACTAAAAAGAAAAGTATATATTTATATCTATTTAGATGTATCTTCCCATGCATAACAAAGCATACTTGGTTCACTTCCCCTCCCCTGYGCATCTCAAAAATGCTCTTGGATTAAGGTGACACAATGAAGCAGAACACATCATGGACTAGTTCTGGAAAAATGTACATGACAAGGCATCAACAAATTCACATTTGCCAACTGACATTATGCAGCCTTTCAATGTTAATTTTTCCCCAAGCTGTAAATAATTTCCCACTATTCATAAGCAGTTTACAATTTTTCTCCTTTTATTTTTTTTAAGTGAGGTGATTTAGAGAAATCTAAATTCGCTTTCCTCTGGAGAAAGGATTTCCATATGCAGCTCATCTCTCTCAACAACTGAGGATTATTAASCCATGCTGACACAGCAAATCACAGTATTATCAATATAGTGAGCAGATCAAAAGGATGGTGGTCAATTTTCTTTCACATCTCATCTACTGCTGGGAAGGAAATGGAAGCATAACTGAAGCAAGATACTTCAAATGCCTCAGATATCAGCCTTTCATTTTCAGCAGTTGAAAGCCACATCTGCAAATCCCTCAAACCACACGTTGCTTGTAGTTCTGCTTCTTGCATGGGAGATCTGGAAAGTGAGTGGCACGGGAGACGGGATTCCTCATGCAGCCACCACACAGAGCAAAAGCATTCAGCCACAGTCCCTTCTCCCCCAGCATCTCTGGTGCCACATGTCCCTGACAGCCCAGACACAGCCCATGGAGAATCAGGATGAGAGATCTGMGCACAAACTACGGTATTTCCTCTACTGCAGCTGCACAGAACAGGTATCTGCACCTCCCCTATTTTTTCCCCTGCCTCTGTTTACCCAAATAAGTAGAACTGCTACAGTTTTTCCTGGTTTAGGCAGCAGAAGATGCCTAGAAGACTGGCAAATAGAAATAAAAATCAAGATAGCCATAACGGCAGCTCTAAATGAGGACATGGACTTTAATGCTACTCATGTCTCACTCGGCGCAAGAGGAATTGCAGACCCTCATTTGCAGAATCACASACCATTCTCCAGCCCTTTTTTCTTAATACCTGCAAGATGCTGAACTAAAATCCTTGATTTTTGCAGTCTCCCAAAAGAACGAGGGGAAGGGAATTGCATCTCCAGAACTGAAGTCTGAGCTTGCAGCCTCATCTGAGCTGCCTCTATGCAAAATCCCTGAATGCAAATTTTAAAAATTTCATTGGGTTCAAATAAGTCTTCTCTATCCCYCACCCCCAGGAGTAAATGCAGCTCMAGSTCACAYATAGGAAGACAGCTCAAGGCAGTAACCCAATCCTTGGCATGACAGTTTTACGTTGTGAGTAACTGCAGAGGAATGGAAAGCCTGGGTATATTTATCCTATCAAATAGCCTTTCAAAAGAAGTATTTGCAGTGCTCTACTAGACCTGCATCACAAAGACTTGCTGGAGCCTTGCTGTAGGACTTCTCACTGWCCTAGAGTTTGACTGCAGAAGCTGTGGGGAGCCCCTAATACTGATGGCAGGAATTCCCATTGTAACAGCAGTTTTGATTTTTCTCAGCAAAATGGAAGAGCCTTATCAGAAATATAAAAACCATGAATAGGTAAAGGGAGGCATCAACTYCCAAGTAAAAGACATCTATTTACAGGTTCTTAAGGCATTATATTCTAATCAATGCTTTTAAATGCAAAAAGATCAGAGACTTCAGAAGCAAAAAAATACAAAGGCTACATTCAAAATGAGACCTTAAAAACKCAAAATTCCATTACATGCTCTTAAAATGCTCTAGTTCTTCAGWTCACATATACAGAAAGCATGTTAAATAGCTTGGCTTACACTGTGTATAACATTTTCAGGAGTTGACATTTAAAAGTTTTCCAAAATTTAACCAATACGTCGAGAAGGTGGTTAGAACACAGGACACGTAAAACTCTCAAACGCAAAGCAGGGGCAGATTGTTATTTAAGATACAGAAAAATTCAAAGCACAAAAGAGAAGTCATTTTCCAGAGTTAACAATTGCTGGAGTATCAGTACAGAGCAGCCACTGGGATTTTACTTCACACTGCCCAAASTTCAGATTGCATGGTCAGTAAAATAAGTCAGTTCTTTCTTTTACTGATGTTTAATCAAAGCCTTGTGCTTTCTCAGTATCAAGATATTGGTGCAAGTCATGCCTTGTGTCACTGCTTAACAAAAAGAATGTCCAAACTAATATCAATAAATGGTATGGTGAATTACAGTAAATACAGTATCCATTCAATTCCTGAGGCTTCTCAGCTTGGAGACCAAAACTGCCCCGTAGAATTAGCAAAATTTTGCATTTGTGGCACCGATTTACAAACTTGTGTGGKTGCTTCCAAAAGGCTTAACAGCAAAGCCCAGGCTGCAGAGACAAACRGAACAAGATTCATCAGAACTGCTGTCAGAATCAGGTGGTGGCAGCCACCATGAATCCTTTCTGTGCCGTAGCTGGAATACTGACAGCCAAAACAGTGAGCCTTGCCCAGTACAGCAGGCARTGCACCATCTCTGACCACTATCAGCAAATGTCTAAACAAAGAAAAGACACTGCAGTGTGAGATGTGGTCTGCATGAGCAGCTGCAGCAATGACTGTGGCTTCCTATCCCAACCACTGAGACCCAAGCTGGAGAGATTATTCCAGAGCTTGGGGCCAACTAGCTGGTCACAACTAACATGCACTACTACCACCCCAAGCCTGAGCTTGTAAAGGAGTGTGCAAACACAGCCTGTATAAAGCAATTTCAGGAACTGTTTATCAGTAACTACTCACTGCACATTTGGAGATGAACTGCAAACCCTTGGAGTGCTCTGGCTGTAGTTCCAGCAGAGCTGACACCATCACACACTGCCAATGTAAGGGAARGAAACAGGGATCCCCCCTTCCCCAGCATGCAAACCCAGCCTGTTCTTGGAATTTGTCCTGCTGATCACCAGACACTTTCTAAACTAATTYAACTTATTAATCCAGTAAAAGTTTGCTGAGGTGTTGGTTTGGGTTTTTTTTAGATAAACTCATTAGGTTTCTTGGAAGCACAGACCCAACTGCTCTATGATTTAAGCAGCTTTTAGAAAATGTATCAAAAAGACCAATGCCAGAATTGAGCCCTTGTTCAAGTAAGTGAATAAAACYTCTGCTTTAAATGGGAAATGCTCTGCTTTGACCTTCAAAATTCAGGCCAGAACACAATTTGTACATCTAGCCCATCCTGCCATTAGTTGAAAGAAATCATCTACCCTCCTGTCAGATTCCCAGAATTCATCTGCAGCTCAGATGCAGACCAGAAAAAAAACACAGCCTGAAAAGACGCAATCAGCAGACAGCACAAACTGAAATGCTCTGAATTCWGGAGACATCCCTCACCATTACCTGCCACTTCCACCCAACTGAAAATATGCTGACATTTTATTTTGGTTTTCCAGCTCCAGAACTGTGACACGGTTCAGTTCCTAGAGCTATACACAGTGTGTACCCACTGGAACTCTCATTTGTGCCATCTGACCRTAAGAGTGAGCTTTTGACAGAGACTCCCGACCATAAAACTGAAGATGAGCCAACTCTGTACAATACAAATACCCAAGAAAAGCCATCATGTGAGTTCAGACTTTCCACCAGATCTCTGGTGGGGCAGGAGGGCTATTTGTGTGTGTGTGTGTGTGTGTGTGCTGAAAGACCATTAACATCACTGCTAGATCCTCCCCAGAACTGCCCAGACCACTTCCTTGCAAATGAATGCATTTCTGTGACACCCAGACCTGTAGGTTCAGCAGTATCTGGCTGCTCAGTGAGGTGCTGGAGTGTTGGGCAGCAWCACGTGGAGTCAGCAGGTTCCTGTGCAGCCCAGCAGCTGAAAGGCTCTCAAGGGCAAAGCAGTGTAGGAAAAACAGCTGACCAGTTTRCAGCTTGACACCAGCAGTCCCTGGGAATCACAGCCCCATTCCTTGAGGGAGCACATGGGATCCACCTCTTGTCATCTTGGATGCAACSGGCTGGGAAATCCTTGGGCTGCTGCTCTGTTCACATCACTGAGCTGGCAGGGAGGTAACCTAATCTTAACGAGATCCACAGTGCATGGGATCACCAACTCAGAATGCTGGCTGGGAGACACTGCAAGTGCTTTAAACATTGAGTCAGCACAGTTCCCTGGATGAAACAACACAAATCTGCAGCACTCCGTGGCCTGCAGTCCAAGCTGTGTGAAGGAACCACAAATTATGTTCCTGTAGGACTAGAATTTTTCCACTTAGCTCTCTGAACACTAAATTAGACTCCAGCTTAAACTGGGTGAGAGAAATTAACCACCACCAACAGAAGAAAAACATGTAGTTTTTCTGCCTTTCTCCAACTTCCTCATCAAAACTTTCATCCCATTTCCAGTGTCTCAGAACAGTTTATTAGATGGCTGAGATCATGGAAGTCTCACATGGCATGTAACTGCTTTCATTTTCAGAGTTAAATATTCCTCAATATGTATGCTGAGCATCCTCACACTGGAAGTGATTTGTGTTTCAAGTCCTTCTCCTTTCAGAAGCGATGTACCTGATGCTCCAGAGAAACAAAATACTGTTTGAAATTTTTTTTTGGTTTTCAGACAAAAAGCTACTAAAACCAAGTGCAGCCTTTTGAAGTTCTTCAAATTAACCTCAGCTGTCCATTCCACTGCCTTGCCTATCACATTCAAAAGYTGGCAACAGAAACACCAGGAAGA